GGAGGAACGGTCATACATAGAAGCTTGCAGTCAACCCCTCCCCATTCCACACAGGAAACTTCGAGAGGAGGAGCTGCGGACGACCTCTCTACCCTCCATCCCCAACCCTTTTCCAGAGCTCTGCAGTCCTCCTTCGCAGACCCCCATTCTCGGGGGGCCCTCCAGTGCAAGGGGGCTGCTCCCTCGAGACACCAGCTGCCCCCATGTGAGTTGTCCTGGGAGAGAGAAGGCAGGGCTATGGGGGTGCTATGGGACTGGGATGGATATAGTGCCACTTCTGTGGAGGAGGGTGGATTTGGTCAGGGGCTCCTGAAGGTATAGCAGATGGGGGAAGGCAAGGAGCCACCCTTTGCCCTTCCTCAAGGAATCTGTAATTCCTGGGGTACAGGTAGTAAAGGTGTACAGTGAAGATGGGGCCAGTCGGTCGGTGGAGGTGGCGGCAGGTGCCACGGCGCGCTATGTATGTGAGATGTTGGTGCAGCGAGCTCACGCCCTCAGTGATGAGAACTGGGGGCTGGTGGAGTGCCACCCCCATCTAGCGCTGGGTGAGTTGAGGTGCAGGGTCTGCCTGGGCTGGGAGGACATGCTTCCCACTTGGGCTAGGCAGGTGGCTCCGAGAGGCCTTGGCTGGTTTCCACTGACCCCGCTTTTTGCCCTTGATCCCAGAGCGGGGTTTGGAGGACCATGAGTCAGTGGTGGAAGTGCAGGCTGCTTGGCCTATTGGTGGAGACAGCCGCTTTGTTTTCCGCAAAAACTTCGCCAAGTATGAACTGTTCAAGAGCTCCCCAGTGAGTGTCGGGGATGGAGGTGGGGGGACCTCTGGGACACCCTGATGATCCCCTATATGAACCCTCAGTCCCTGACTCATGACTCCTTTCTCTCCCAGCATTCCCTGTTCCCAGAAAAGATGGTCTCCAGCTGTTTGGACACACACACGGGCGTATCCCACGAAGACCTAATCCAGGTGAAGGGACACCCTCCTTTCACAGTATAGTCATAACTCCCCAGAATCCCCATTGCATCTTGGCCCATCAGCCTTGCACCTCCTCTCTGTGTGGTGAAGAGAGCCCAGCATAGTTGTGATAGTGAACATGTCACTCTCCCTGCCTGAGCGTCAGTTTCTTTATTAAATGGGGACAATAAATGCATGTGGAGCACCTCTTCTCATAAAACGGGTTCTGTGAAGTCGTGTGTGTGTGTGTGTGTGTGTGTGTGTGTGTGTGTGTGTGTGTGTGTGTGTGTCCCTCTAGGCCTCTCACCTTCCTGTCTTCTGGCCTCAGAACTTCCTGAATGCAGGCAGCTTCCCCGAGATCCAGGGCTTCCTGCAGCTGCGGGGGTCAGGACGCAAGCTTTGGAAACGCTTCTTCTGCTTCCTGCGCCGGTCTGGCCTCTATTACTCCACCAAGGGTACCTCCAAGGTGAGGTATTGAGGCGGACAGCCCCAGCCCCCCGGATTCCTCATCCTGGTCCTTCTAGGCGTTGCCCCTTTTCTGTTAGAACTCCTGGACCTTTCTTCCCCTGGGCCCTGAGACCCTCAGTTGCTTCTCTTTCCCGCCCAGCCTACCTGCCCCAGGAGGTAGCAGTGGGAGAGGCAGGTGAACTGAATTTGAGTACTGGCTCTACTTCTATTTGCTATGTAACCCGAGGCACTTGTGTGCCCCTCTCTGGGCCTGAAATCCCCACAGCTGGCTTAGGGAGGGCGGTAACTGGGGGATAGGGTTCACCTGCACCAAGTCCTGCTCACCTGTGCTGCGCAGGACCCGAGGCACCTGCAGTACGTAGCCGACGTGAACGAGTCTAACGTGTATGTGGTGACCCGGGGCCGCAAGCTGTACGGGATGCCCACAGACTTTGGCTTCTGTATCAAGGTGAAGACCCTGGCCTGGCTGGGAGGCACCGGGAGCTACTCAATCCCCAGGATCCTACCTGGGAGTTCTGAGCTCCTTTTGGGACCCAGACTCCTCCCTGCACCATGCCCTGCCCTCTGGAGACTGGGAGACAGACATCTGGTCCTAAAGGCAGATATGGAACCAGCCAGTTTCCTCTCCCCACAGCCGAACAAGCTTCGAAATGGCCACAAGGGGCTTCGCGTCTTTTGCAGTGAGGATGAGCAGAGCCGCACCTGCTGGTTAGCTGCCTTCCGCCTCTTCAAGGTGAGGCCCTGGGAGTGGCATGGGAGGCTGGCCTTGCCTTTGGGGTCCACAGCCTGAGGGAGGAGTGATAGATCTACCTTCGGGAAGTCTCCAGGATGAGAGGGCATCACAGCCTTGCTCTCTCAGCATCCCTGGTCCAAGGCTGGAGTCGAAGCTCTGGCTTCAGAAAGCTCCTTATCCAGGGGCAGAAACACAGCTCTGCTGCTGGGGAGGCCTGGTCTGGAGGGTGTCATAGCCTAGACCGTGGCACCGGCTTGACCTCAGGCCTTTTTTCTCTCTCCACCCCCCAGTATGGGGTTCAACTGTATAAGAATTATCAGCAGGCACAGTCTCGCCACCTGCGCCCGTCCTGTGTGGGGTCCCCACCCCTGGTGAGTGTGCACATGGGCATTAGCTGGGGGTGGGTACCCAGGCCCCGTCCCAGGGATACTTGGGCCCTATTCTGACCCCTCCCCTTCCCATCCTATCCCATTTGCAGAGGAGTGTCTCGGATAACACCCTGGTGGCCATGGACTTCTCTGGCCATGCTGGGCGTGTCATTGAAAACCCTCGGGAGGTTCTAAGTGCAGCCCTGGAGGAGGCCCATGCCTGGAGGGTGAGGGGCCTGCACCCATCTGCATATCTGTACTGGGGACCGCTCCATATGGGTTTCCATGGAGTGGGAGGAAAAGGGGTGAGGGGAGGCCTTCAGCTGCACAAAGGGGCTCTACATTCTTGAGGGGTGGGGTAATATCTCTGACACCCCCACCCCCCACTGTGTCCCCCTCTGCTCTGCAGAAGAAGACGAACCACCGTCTCAGCCTGCCCACCCCATGCTCAGGCACGAGCCTCAGTACAGGTGGGTGAGGGCCCAGCATCCCCGGGGGCGGGGGCTGCCATGGCTTCTCTGAGCATTTCTGGTGGGGGCGGTTAGTATGAAGGTCCCATCTGTCTCCCCTTCACCCTTCACCCCAGCCATCCACCGCACCCAACCCTGGTTCCATGGACGCATTTCCCGCGAGGAGAGCCAGCGGCTCATCACACAGCAGGGCCTTGTAGATGGGTAAGGGGCAGGGCTGGGCAGGGCAGCAGGCCCAGAGGTAAGAGAGACCTTGGGTGAGGGCGGCAGCTGTGTGTCCTCAGCTAATGTTGTCCTGCCTCCTGGCAGCCTGTTCCTGGTCCGAGAGAGTCAGCGGAACCCACAGGGCTTTGTCCTCTCTTTGTGCCACCTGCAGAAAGTCAAACATTACCTCATCCTGCCGGTGAGTAATCCGTCCCTTCCCAAGAGTCCTAGATTCCTGCAGTAGAGACGCAGGGCTCCTAGCAGCCTGTCATCCCCATCAGGCCCCTGCAGGAAGCACCTCCAACCCCGGCCCCCAGTGTGTCTGGGGTTTCCTGCGCTCTCCTTTCTCCCTGCACAAGCAGTGGGGACCTCAGCCCTGGCCCAGGAGGGAGCCCTTCAAGCTCATGTCCTTCTCTAACTACCTACTCCCTATGGCCATACCCCAGAGTGAGGAGGAGGGCCGCCTTTACTTCAGCATGGACGAGGGCCAGACTCGCTTCACCGACCTGCTGCAGCTCGTGGAGTTCCACCAGCTGAACCGCGGCATCCTGCCCTGTTTGCTGCGCCACTGCTGTACCTGCGTGGCCCTCTGACCACCGCAGGAGCAGGCATGTGTCTCAGCCCTGTGCTCCTAGGCCAGACTCAGAGGGTCAGAGGGCGGGGACAGGATTGTGAATAGTCGGAGGGCTTCCCCACTCCAGTTTTCTCCTCTGCTCCTCTGCCTCCCTGAGGCAGAAAGTGCCCCCCCCCACCCAGTCCACCCTCAACCCCTCTCCTCAAGGGAAGGCACTTGGGGTGGCCCTCTCCCCTTCATGGAGCTTCTGGGCACTGCCCTGGGGCAGGGCATTATGGGAGAAGGAGGGCAGCCCAGGGGATCTTCTGCCCCACACTTTGTACAGACTGAGAGGCCAGTTGATCTGCTCTGTTTTATACTAGTGACAATAAAGATTATTTTTGGATACACCTATGAGTTCTGTCTGGCAAGACCTGGCTAACTGGGGTAAAGAAGGGGAGCAGGAGAGGTGGGCACCAGGTCTTGGTGAATGTGTTAGATGGATAGAGGCCACGGACTGGCTAGCCTGGATGTTTCTTAGGGCAGGGGTGGTCTTGATCATCTGAGAGTCTCTAGTACCCAGCATTGTCCCTGGTGCGTAGAGGGTGCCCAGTAATTGTTGGTTAAATGAATAAATGGACAAAGGACTGTCATCCAGGTGAGATTTCCTGATAGAGCCTAAAGCTACAGGGGTAACTCTGATAGGGTCTGGGCATTGGAAATGAATCAGACAACATCCTTATCCTCCGCTACAAGTCCTGGGCTAACTGGTTGAATAATGAGTTCCAACAAACACACAGGGATGCCTCTACCACCGCCATCAAATCACACAACGGCTCCATTACAAGTCCTTGTGTCCCCCACTGTCCACCCCTCTCACTCCTCCCCAACGCCATATCTGTTTTCTGTCCTTATAGTTCTGCCCCCTCCAGAAAGCCTTTATGGAATCCTACAGCGCTCAGCTGTTGGAGTCTGGCTTCCCTCTCCAGCCTATCCTTCAGCATTGCAAGTGATCTTTCCAAAATATCAATCTGCCTGCTCTCCTGTACTTCCACTTGTGCCCAGATAGACCCTGAGGGATCTGACCTCTGCTCACTGCCCATGCCAGTCTTTGTTTCATCGTAAGACGTTTGTCTAATTTAACAGTTTTAGTAGTCTTAGCTCTTACGTGATGGGGGAGCTTTATAATAAATGTATCAGATTGGCCACACCGGAACCTACTGCTCAATCTTCAAATCACAAAGAGATAGACCCTCCAGACATGTGAACCTCAAGTAGGCATTATTTTGGCTAAGAAATTGAACCTACATCTGATCCCTTGTATCTAACTACTAGTTTATCAGAGATACAGGGAACAGAAGAACATGTGAAATGACACATGGGGATACAATTACCCAAATCCAGACCGGGAAACTACAGAACAGATAACCCAGTTTTTTCTTCAACAACAACAAAATTACAAGAAAAGAAGATGGGGAATCTCTAGGTTTCAAGAAATTTAGACATCTTAACCAAATAGAATGTGTTGACCTTATTTGATTAAAATCTAAACTAGCTAACTGTAAAACACATTTGTGAGCAATCGGGGGAAATTTGAACTCTGGTAAGATATTTTGTGATATTAAGGAATTATGGTTAACTTTTTAAGATGTGATAATGATTGTGGTTATGATTTTTTTTAAAGTAATTTTAAGTCCAAAAGTCCATTCTGAAGTATTTATTAGTGAAATGATTCAGCTTTGATTTCAAAATAACCCAGAGGTTAGGGAAGAGGGGGAGGATATAGTCTTGGGTTGGCCATGAGTTGATATTGGTTGAAGCTGGGTAATGGGTACATGGGGTTCATTAAATTATGCTCTAATTTTGTATAAGCTTGAAAATTCTATGATAATTTTTTTTTTAATGGAGACTAAGGGGTTGCGGGAATGGATGAAAAAAGTGAAGGGATTAAGAAGTACAAATTGGTAGTTATGAAGTAGTCAGGGGGATGTGGAGTGCAGCATGGGAATGTAGTCAGTGTTGTGATAGCTATGTGTAGTGCCAGATGGGTGCTGGACTGATAGGGGGATCACTTCATGGAGTGTGTAAATGTCTGGCCACTGTGCTGTGCTCCTGATATTAATATAAAAGTGTTGAGGGGCCGGCCGAGTGGCTCAGTTGGCTAAGTGTTGCCGGTTCGATGCCCACATGGGCCAGTGAGCTGCACCTGCGCTGAGCTGCCACTGAGCTGCCAACAGGTGGCAGGATGGCTCAGCTGGTGAGAGCATGTGCTCCTAACAACAAAGTTGCCGGTTCGACTCCTGCATGGGGTGGTGAGCGATGCCCATCCACAACTAAGATTCAACACGGCACCTTGACCTGAGCGGCTGTGAGCTGACCAACTGGCGGCCGGATGGCGACTGGACGTGGAGCTTGGAGCTGAGCTAGCTGCGCCCTCCACAACTAAGATTGAAGGACAACAACTTGGCTGTTCCCCTTCCTCAATTCCCCAATAAAATCTTAAAAAAAAAAAAGTGTTGAATGTCAACTATAATTGAAAATTTTTTAAAATAAATAAGTGGAGACTCTCTCTCCAAATCTTTGAGATTGGCTGGGCACAAGGTGGTGGGATCCCGTTTTGTAGGTGAGGAAACTTGACAGCTCAGTGAGGAGACCTGTCCCAAATCCTAGTTAGTGAGAGAGAGCCAGGATTTCAACCCAAGTCTGAGTACCAGGTCTAGGCTGTTCTGGTGCCCCTGCCTAGCTGAATTCCAGGTGGAATTCCTAAGTGGCCTGTAGGGGGGGGTCCTCCCCTGGGAGCCTCTTCATTTCTGCAGCCCTGGTCACTGGCTGGGGGGTTGTCCTGAGGTGACTTTGAGGAGGGCCAGCCACCACAGCCAGCCCTTAGGCCAGCCTTAGCATCCCTGGCAGCCACTCATGATGAAGCCTTGGCTAAACCCAGGCTTGGGCGCCAGGCTTGTCAGACAGAGGTGGGCAAACAGGCCTCATCTACTCTCCAGCCTGGAACCTGCTGGACTCACCCTGAAGAACTTAACTGCAGCCCAGGTGTGAGAGGGGTGCAGATTTTGTTTCTTTTTAGCAGGACTTGAGGCAGGGACCAGTGCAACCTGGCCTGCTACCTGCCACCTGCCATGGTTCCCAGAACCATCCTGTCACTGGCTTCTCCTAGGCCCGAGCTGGCTGGTGCTAGCTCTGTGGCTGGCCATGGATGCCCAGGTAGGTGTGCTAGGGACCCAAGCTGGGGTGAGAGTGATGGGGTCAGAATGAGTCACATCTTTAGCATGTCCAGGTATTTAGGCTGCACACACAAAAAAACAGGACCCAGGGCAGGGGACAAAGCCCTTCTGTCAACCAGCTAATTGGAGTATGTGCGACAGATATCGCTCTCACTTTATAAAGGGAAGCTGAGGCTCAAGGAGGGTGACCCACCTGAAGTCATCGATGGAGTTAGGGACGGAGGTCAGACTCAGCCCACCTTGCGGGTGGTGGAACGCAGCCCTTCCCGGTCCTGCCCTTTGTTCTCTGTCCCCTTCCTTCTCAGTGCTGGCCACTATAAGGAGACCTGGGCCACGGGGAGACCTTAGAGGTGGCAGCTGGCTTGGCCCTGTGCTGGATACTGGAAATCCGCAGCTGGATATCTTCATGAGTGGCTGAGATCTCTGACTTCATGGAGAAGCAGCGACTGAGAGTATGCAGGACAAGGTCCCCTCAGGGCCAGCTTGCAGAGGTACCCAGGACAAGATTCCCCAGCTCTGAGCATGTGAGAAGGCTGCTGCTCCACCGCCAAAGAGGCTGCAGCGTGACCTGCCCAGTCCAGACGGCAGAGGAGACCACCAAGGATAGCTGAAGTGCTGGATAGTGGAGGCTTGTGGGTATGAGGAAATCTGGGTGGGTAGGAGGAAGGCGGGGACATTGTGCAGAAGGCAGAAGCTGGCGACTCAGATACTGCCTTTTTAATATGTTTACTGAGTTGGACTGTAAAAATTATATGTGTTTATTAAAGAACATTTCAGAAACCAGAGAAAGACTTGGGAAGAGAAAGGGAAAGCCCCTATAATCTCTCCATGCTGAGGAGGACCCAGGCCTTGAGAGAGGGTGATGCAGGGCCCATATCCAGGGGGCTCGCCCTAAGTAGACCCAGCTCCTGGGGCTAGTATGGTTGGCATCAGTCTGGTGCCAGGGTACATACCCATCCTTGGTAGTACCATGGGCCTGTAGGAGGGTGTGACCACAGGGTTGGCCTCCCTGACTGGTCAAGTGTGGAAGGCAGGGTGGCTGGTGCCAACTTTCTGGACTCTGGGAATGGATGGGCATGATTGTAGGGGAGCCTACTTATGGATAGGGTATCCTAGGGTAGGGTATCCATAGATAAAGCTCTGGCCCGTTCATGCTCTCCCTGCTCCCCAGGCATCCTGTTCAATGAAATCTATGCAGATTCCAAGTTCCCAGGGTGAAGGGCCTCCTTGTGCGGGTTCAAGGGTTTAACATCCGGGCAGTGACCCTGCCTGGCTCCTTCCTCATCCTCGGGGCCAGGCACCCTGAGGGAGGAGGGAAGAAGGAAAGGAGTCAGGGGAGACCAAGGCCACTAGGAAGGATCTTTTCTTCTGAACTGTCTACAGAGGCAGTTTTTAAACTGCCTTCCTGGAGTCCAAAGGTTCCATAAGGGGTTGGGGGCAGGTTGGGGTGGGGTTGGGGGAACACTGCCTTTATATCTGGGAGTTAGGCTTCATGGTGTATTTAGAAAAAAGGCTTCCCACTACTGAAACACTGATCTGGTCCAGCAGACAGAAAAGGGGGCCCAGAGTCAGGAGTCGGTTCAGCTTGCCCAGTGGTGGGGTCTATGGCAGTCTGCTTTCCTGTCCTGTGCTGATGGCAGAACCTGCTTTGGGGCTTGGGAGTGAGGTGTGCAGTGGCCTCTTAGGACAGAGGACTCTGAGCTTTCAGCTGGGGTGGGAAGTTGGGAGGAGGGAAAGAGGGAGTTGGATCTTGGGGGAGTTGAATATTGCAGACTGGAGTCTAGAGCCACAGGAGAGTAGGTGACCAGCTGAGGCTGGTCCCCAGAGGTCCCCCATGATCTCCATACAGGAAGGGGTGTTGGGAAGTGGGGTTACTATCTGGGCTGAGAAGGTTGTGTGCTACCAGGTCCTAATGTGGCCTGAGAGTTAATCCCATGTGCTTTGAGCTATGATCCTCCAGCGTCCCCTTGCAGGGCTGCATCTGCCCCAAGGAAGGGGCAGTTTTACTTTGCTGGGCACCTAGGGGGCTGTTGAGCTGCAGCTGTGTTTTCATGGTAAGCAGTTTGTTTTTACTAGGATTGGGTTTATCTTGGGTGGTTTGGGGGAGAGTGAGGGAGATTGGTAGGCCAGTGCCACTCTTTTAAGGCCACTAGGTGGATCCCTGTAGGGCATCC